GGGGGGGGGGGGAAGGGTGTTCTTGGGGGTCCCGACCAGATTTAGAAACCAGGTGGGGAAAACAGGCCCCTACGTATACACTAGTCACCTCTAAGTGTGCCTCTAAAATAAAAGGAGAAAACTTCATGAACAAGCTGAGACTTGTCTTCTATTGTAGCAGATTAACTGGGCGAGTGGAAACCAGAGTCTACACTCTGGGCAGAAACGGGCATCCTGATTCTTTGAGAATCGTTGCGGGATTTCTTCTAACACCCGGTGCTGCGCTGACTGGCTTAAACGGAAGCTACAAAGTGTCACTGTGCTGTCCCCGATCCTGTGGCGGCCTCTGCTAAGGGCCTGGGGCACACAGCTGCAAACTGTGATCATTCATTTACACGCCGAAACCGGCCGCCAGGCCCCCCGCAAACCAACTGAGCCATCTTCTGAATCAAATCTGCACAACCATAAGGGGGAAAAAAAAAAAAAAAAGAATTCATGCCCTATCATACTTCCCAAGGGAGGCTTCAAAAGGCTAACGTCTTGGCCATTTTAAGACTTCTTCAATGTTTAATTTGCTTCCCGCAAGCAGTTCATCATCCGGAAATGAGTCCAGCAGCGGACAGAAAGCTTGGATTTTAGTATCTGGGGTCTCCCGTGCGCTTGGGTCCGTGCCTTCTGCTAGAATGTGCAGCAAAAGCACTCCTGTCTCCTGCCAGGTGCTGCCCCCGCCCAGGAGCTGCGGTTGCTTTTCAGATCAGCTTTATTTATTATGAAAAAAAAATTTTTTTTGGTAAAGTCAGCTGTAAATTGACTCGAGCTTATAAAAGGAGCTCACAACGTAAAAACCAGGAGCTGGTTTCCCATTTAAAAGTAGGAAAGACATGAAATGGTTTTCGAAGCCAAATAAAAGGAAAATCCCAACCTGACCCCTTTATTCTGAGCTGGTTCTCTGGGATCTCAGGGTAGATTCTTGAAATGGGGACAAGCACTGGGCTCGGTACCCGTCTACGCATGTGATCAATTTCACTACCCATCTTGCCAATTTAAAAAATGCAAATCCCCATGTGACCCAGATTCCTTTCAAGACGGTGAAACGCTTTATTTTACTCCGGCCCTGGTTAATTATACAAAACAAGCGAGCAATTCTCAAACAGTTGTCCGTAAATTCATATTTTGGGTCTTAAAGAATGCCAGGGATTAAAATAAAACAAAACACCTTTGAAAAGTGATTAGCCGGGGTCTGCGTGTAAGAGGCAGCTGGTGGCGAACCAGGTTCTATTTACGGCCCCACCTGGGGAAGCGTGAGCTGCCTACGGCCCCCGCTTGCCACAAAGTCTCCAACAGAAATGCACTGATTTTTGTTAAGTTATCTGAACAGCACCAGGGCATCTGATGGGCTCGGTCAACCGCAGAGGGAGGAGCTCGGTGGTCTGATGGCAAAGTCAACCGGTTAATCGTTAACCGAGCTTTTCCGGGTTTCAGTGGGTTGTCTGGGATCACGCAGCCGTGACAGGCTCATCACAAGAAACCAATCGCGATCTTAAACGTGTTTAAGGAAAAAAGACACACTTTTTAGTACCAACACAGGAATCTCCTCACTCTTTCCTCCGGGAGGGGGAGGTTTTATTTCTGACTTCTTCCAAAGCGGACGACTGCAACACCGAACTGACCAACTTGCGGAGTTCAACGTGTTAAGTTACAAAACGGAACGTCCTAGGGCAGTTGAACGGGACACAGATGCTACAATCAGGAGGGCTGAGGTCTTACGGCACCCCTCTGACGTGCGTGGACGTTTTCAACTCAGAAACGTCGACTAGAAGCTAGAAGGGCAACTTTGTTTTTCTGGATGCCTACAGGTAACTGCCAGAGGCAGGACTGTTTGTGGATTGCAAATGACAGCATCGTTAAGGGGGCAGTTGGAAGCTTTCCACATAATATTTCATTAGCGAGTGAAACTTGATTATCGTCACAACTAGCCAGGGAAAGCCGGGTGTGAGACGCCTACGTGCCCACCGCGCCCGGCCCAACGACAACACGCACGCGGGTGTCCTCCATCGAGACTTTGAAGGACTGCCTGTAACCGTCATAGTTGTGGAGCGAGACAACGCCAACTTTTTTTAAGTTTTTTTTTTTTTTTTTTTTTAAAGTTGTTATTAAATATAAGTCTTAGCACCTTTGGCATTTTTGTCCAAATAGACTTCGACGTACGAAGTGGGGACATAACCCTCTTCTTCGTTCCTCCGGATGCGGGTCCACCCGTCACCTTTGTCTTCCTCTATAACGTACAGCGTTTCTCCTTCCACTACTGAAATGGTTCCTTCGTTCTGCCCTGGGGAAGCAAGATCAGAGTATTTTAGGTGTCTCGCGCCATCCTGGTGGGGCACACGGAGCCTGGCCGTGAAGAAAGGACAGCCAGCAACAGAGGCACCCACCCCCTCGCCCGTTCCCCTCCAAGGCCTCCTCCCTCGCAGAAGCTTCTAGGCCCTCCCCCCAAGGCCCTTCTCCAGTTCCTCCAGGGAGGGCCCTCCCCTCCTTCCGGGGAAGCCAGGTGTCTCCCCGGGGAAGGGGAGGGGGGCTCTTTGCGCCGCTCTTCCTCTCTCTTGCGCTCTTCCTCTCTCTTGCGGAGAACAAAGTCCCAAGGCTTTGATGACCCCTTTTCAGACGACATCCCGACTTCTCTTTCTCCCTTTCCGGTTCTCGTCTGGAGCGAAGGTTCCACTCCTCCCTGCGATCTGTGTCCACCTCCCTGTTGCCCTGGCACCTGAACCGCCGGGCTCACGGTTATGTTATTATTACAAACAATAATACAAATCCCAAACCACGACTTCCTCCTCCTGCCTTCCCAGTTCAGGGGGACCCCAGGAAGGCACCTTCGGGACCCCTCTCCGCTTTCCTCCCCCTCTTCGTTCCCCGCTTCCCGTAGCCAGGAGTCTGACGGTTGGCTGACCGCGGCATCTCGGTGCCCACTCTCGAATCGCGGTCCCCAAGACCGTTTGCGGGAGACAGTTGCCAAAGTCTAGCCCCCACGGCTCAAACAGCGTTCTGAGCGCAGACCGTCTGGGGCGCCGTTTACAGGGGGTGCCGTAGGGGTGGGGCTGAGGTGTGGGAAGGAGGCAACATGGGCAACATTTAACCTGGTGCTGTCTTGTCACTATCAACATTTGGTCTGTGGCAAGGGAATCTGTAAGATCCCTTCGTTCCAGGGCTTCCCCAAACCAACCCGAGCTCGGATGGCTTCTTCCACAGCATCCTCGTTAGCTTTCTACAGGACATCGTGCGGGCAACGCTAGGCTAGTCTTTCTAACCCTCCGTCCCTGTTCTCTGATTGGTCCTGCACATGTGACAGTAAAGATCCTAAGGTATCAACACCCTGCTCAAATGCTTTCAATACCTCCTCTGTTATTGCCAAGTCAAATCCAAACGCTGCTCTTACCCCCGGCCCCCCGCACAGGTACCACTTTCTCGTCTCAGATTCCCCTGTTCCTAAGACCTCTAAGCTCCAGCCGCACGAGCCCATGCTTTCCTTCCCTCCCTCCCTCCCTCCGATGTACAGCAGCCTGGAGGGTTCTCTGAGTTCTCTTAAGGATGGGATCTCACCTCCCCCCCCCACCACAGAGTGATTGATGTCCCCCTGTCACTCTGTACCCCTCTTCTGGTAAAGGCTGCAAATGTGTGTCTGCTCTCTGATCTCCGGGGGCGGATGCCAAGCCACACCCACCCACATCCCCGCCCCCCGGGGCCTTTCCAAGACAGGGGCTCCAGAAGTCCTGGAAAGACAGATGAAAAATCAGCATCATCCCACACTGTCTGCTGCAAGTAAACTCCACCAAAGCTGTTCGGTTGTGCGGACCGAAGGGCAAACTATACAGCAGTCAGCATGTGATGATGACGATGACGACGGCAACTCTGAGCAGAAGGAATCTTCTAGAAAGATCTAGAAGGCTTCAGAAGAAGGTCCGGTCACAGCAGGAGGAGGGACAGCGTGCGCAAGCGGGGAACCCCGTGGGCCCATGTCACCTTCGAACGTGTAGAGGGCTTTGCAAGTCCCGATGGCAGGCAGGGGCTCCTCATCATCAAACTCGTCGTCGAAATCCGTGGCCAGCACCTTCACCTCACTCTCCTGACTCTGCTCCTCCGTGTAACTGCCATCCGGGCTGCTCAAGAAAGCAAAGCACACAGCAACTATAGCGACCGACCCCGGTGAGGGCTCAGACTCTGCCACCGTGCGAGCAACGTGCTTGCACACACGCCCCTTCCCCCCCCCCCCCCCCCCCCGCTAACAAACACCTTCTCGGATCACCCCGCCCGTCCATCCCCGCCCCACGCGGCATCAGGGACCCGAGTCGTGGCGAAAGGGCGGCTCAGGCCTCACGGGCGCTTTGGTGTCAAGAAACCACCTTACGCTCCTTTCCAGCCTCCAGAATCGGGAAGCGAACACAAGCGAGATACTGTACCTCTCGCGGTCCTGAGCGCAGTTGTTGACCGTGGTCGGGTTCTGGGCCTCGTACATTCCGCTCTGGCGCCGGGCCTGATCGCTGCGCGCTGGCAGCCTGCCTTCCACCTCGGCCAGCCAGGCCTGCGAGCAAGAGTGACGAAAGGCCCTGGTCTGAGCTCAGCTCAGGGCCCGACCGTGGAGTCCTACGGCCCCACGCTGGGGTTGCCCGATGGTCACTGAAGCTGAGACTCCAGAAGGACTCCATGGGGGGGAGGGGTGGCGAACAGGGGGGGGGAGGGGCGGCGCGGGTCGGGGGCGGGGTCCCTCCAGTGTATTTGCACTTGGCTGTACCACCGCTTCTAGCTCGCCTCACCTCGGAGACGTAGAAGCAAAGGCACTGAGGCAGCTGTGACAACGGGGCGGAAAGAACACGGGACCGGACCGCATCACACTCTCAGGCTTTTTGCAAACAGCCGTGTGGTTTCAGATGCATTGCTTCCAGTTCCTTCTGGTTCCAAAATTCTGTGACCTCGAGGTCACATGGGGAAACAGGAGGACCCTGCCCCACGTAAGCAGTGACTCAGTTTGAAAGCCACGCTTCCTTTTTTTGGGGAGTATCACTCTCTTGAATAGGGAAGAAACGTACATAGAGGAAATCCAAAGTAGAAAAAATTGCCCTCGGCGGCATTTGAAACAGGGTAAGAGAGGGGCGAGAATGAAAGTGATCAGAAAAGGACATTTCTAGGCTCTAGAAACTCAAAAACAGTACCAACTGATGGATGGGCTCCAGGAAGAATTTTAAAAACGCCCCCGTTGACCCTTCGTGGCTGCAAATCACCTATTCTGACGGGAACGATCGGTTACTAATGTATCTTTCCGTGTTTTGTAGCCTTCACGTTTGGGGGCAAAAGAAGCCTTTGAGTGCTCCTCTCTCGGTCCTTGAAACATTTATTATTTGTATTTCCCACTCACTTCCGGTCTGTGTCTCCTCCCGGTTTTCACAGACATAACCCTTTAATAAACGGGGCCTTTGAAAGAACAACAACCTATTGGAATTGATTTTTTTTTTTTTTTAAGTTTTTTTGATTCCCGGCGGTGTTGGACGGTTACATTCTTCCAGTTGTTTCCATGGACCAACAGAAAATGAAGCAGGATCAACTAAGGGAGGCACTTCTGGAAAAGCACTGTGGATCCCGATACGACTTTGATCGGCATCGGCTTTAGGAGACATAAGGGACCGAGGGCGTGCTGAGGGGCAGAAGGCTCAGTGCACGGCCATCTCCTCTTACGACAACTCGAGACCCACCCCTTGAGACCCACCCCGACACCTCTGGCTGAATCTCCAGACACTCTGTGACCACAGCCCCCCCCCCCCCCGCCCCTCCCTCTGTTTCTTTCTTTTTTTTTTTTTCAACAGAGCTTTTCAACCCCAGCTTTTTCATACCTCAAATTTCTGGGCTTCTAGCCGCAGTTTTTCTATATTTTGGCTGACTTCTGTTAATTTGTGATCCAGGCTGGCTGGGTCTCCCATCTGAGGATTCTTTAGGTAAACATCTTTCATTTTTGTGATGGCATCTCTGGGGGGGGGGGGAACCAAGAATGAGCAGAAAACGGTGAAAGGTGAAGGTCACGAGCTAAGTGTAGTCTCCTGACGCCCTGGGAACCGTGTGAAGGTTAAGCAGGGGAAGATTGGGTAACGTCTGCGTTGGCGGGGAGCATCGGGGCGTGCTTTCCTTCTTTAAAACTCTGTAAGAATTCCGCTACCCAGGCCTGTGTCATCCAGAGACGGTTATTAAACTCTCAGTCGCCTCTTCTGAATGCTACCTGGTGTCTCCCCATTGCCTTTAGCAGTTGAGAAACGTGAATCGATCCTGACCCCTCCCCTTGCCCCAAACGACAATAAAACCAAAGCAAACCCAGAGATTTCCTTGTGCGCATCCTTCACGCAAGCCAAAGCGACAGCTGCCATCCTGGGTCCTGTGGGGCTATCGTTCGCTCACCCCGTGGAGAAGCACAGTTAACTGCTTTGGAAATTTTCCTACACACCCCTTTCAGCTATTAGGAAACCAGACCCATCCAGTTGGTATCCATGATGGGAGAGCAGCCGAGCCTCAGAGCTGCGTACAGCGAGATTCCACCGCCTTCCTGAAATCAGGTGTCAGAGGCCCGCCCACAGCAGCCCGAGTAAGGGATCCCCATGCTTGGGTTATCTCTAGGACCACAGAGCCCTATTAATTTGAACTCTGGCTTCAAGGCACCTTCAGAGGGGGTCAAGATGTTAAAAAGTTTAGGGGCGCCTGGGTGGCTCGGTCGGTTGAGCATCCAACTCTTGATTTCGGCTCAGGCCACGATCTTGCGGTTTGTGAGTTCGAGCCCCGCGTCGGGCTCTGCGCTGACAGCCCGGAGCCTGGAGCCTGCTTCGGGTTCTGTGTCTCCCTCTCCCGCACCCCAAAATAAATACACATTAACACATTTTTTCAAAAAGACGTTAAAAGCTTAACCCAAGTGACTCTGCGGGTGGTAGTGGGCCAACTTCAAGGAGCTTCCGTAAAAGACACTCTACACCCATCACACGACATCAGACCAATGAACCAAACCCTATTCTGAGTCACAGGAAATAGTTTAAATTTTTTTTTTAATTTTTTTTAACATTTATTTATTTTTGAGACAGAGAGAGAGAGAGAGCATGAACAGGGGAGGGTCAGAGAAAGAGGGAGACACAGAATCTGAAACAGGCTCCAGGCTCTGAGCTCTGTGCAGACAGAGCCGGACGCGGGGCTCGAACCCACGGACCGCGAGATCGTGATCTGAGCCGAAGTCGGACGCTTAACCGACGGAGCCACCCAGGCGCCCCTAAAATTTTTTTTTAAACGTCTATTTATTTTTGAGAGAGACAGAGACGGAATGCGAGTGGGTTAGGGTCAGAGAGAGAGGGAGATACAGAATCCGAAGCAGGCTCCGGGCTCCGGGCTGTCAGCACAGAGCCCGACGCGGGGCTCGAACCCACAAACCGTGAGATCATGACCTGAGCCCACAAATCCTCCTCATGCCTCTAACCCAACCCCTCACATCTGAGCGCAGCCGTCCCGCGGCTCCTCTGAGGGTACCCACTGCTCGCTGTCCCTGAGGCCACAGCTTCAGAACAGCCCTCCATCCACCTGCACTCCCCGCCCCCTCACTTTGTTCCACTTCCTTCTTTTCCATGGCATGTATCACTTTCCAGCACGACATAATTTATCATCATGCGTCTCGTTCATCGTCTGTCTCTTCCTACCCGATTAGAAGCTCTTTGAGGAAGCCCTGGGGGCTCCAGCTCTCATTGATTTGGTATCTCCCCGCTGGCGGGCCCATACCTGGCACACAGTAGGTGCTCAATAAATGCCGGCGAGATAAATACGGCAAACAAACTGTAGCGTCCACCTGGACGCAATTCCTCTCCTGGCTTTATGGCTACACCGCCAGCTACAGCTCGATTTCTCTGCAAATCTTCTCAAGAGACTTGACGCGATTCATGGCCTCCAATTCTCTTCCTCCTCTCTCTCCTGATCGATCTCTCCAGAAGCTTAATTTCATTCATCTTTTCAAGGGACCAACTTTTGGATTTGTCGATCCCCTTTGCTGAGGGCGTACTTTTTTTTCCTACATAACTAATTTACGTTCTTTCCTGGCTTCTATTTATCTTTGGTTCCATTTGCTGTGTTTTTTCTAACTTTTTTTTAAATAATTTTTTTAAGTTTATTTATCTATGATTGAGAGAAAGAGAGAGAGAGGGCACAAGCTGGCGAGGGGCAGAGAGAAAGAGAGAGACACAGAATCTGAAGCAGGCTCCAGGCTCTGAGCCGTCAGCGCAGAGCCCGACGTGGGGCTCGAACTCACAGACGGTGAGATTGTGACCTGAGCCGAAGCCAGACACATAACAGACCGAGCCACCCAGGTGCCCCCTTTCCTAACTTCTTGAGATGGATACTTAGCTCACTGATGTTTAGCGTTTTTTTGTTTTGTTTTGTTTCATTTTTTTTAATATGTATCATAAAGCTCTAAGTTTCCTTTTATGAGTATCACCTTAGTGATAGCCCAGTAGCTGATTCAGAGAATGTGCGTTCAGGTTCAGTTCTGCTCTGTGTATTTCCCAGTGCCTAGTATGACTTCTTTAGTCTCTGAGTTATTCAGAGCTACATTTCTGAATTTCTAAATTTTTGTTCTTGGTAACCAGCTTTATGTCAGGCTTCAGGGAGCACACCTTGAATGCGGTGTCCCCTTGGACGTTTGTAGAGATTCGCTTCGTGAAAACAGGATGTGCTCAATTTTTGGAAATGTTCTGTGGGTGCTTGAAAAGAATGCGTACCATGCAATCAGTGGATAGGTGTGTCCTGAGTCAATGTGATCAATCCTATCATTTAAATATTCTGCCCTGAATGTGTTAAATCTGTTCTGTCAGTTACGGACAGAAGAGCATTAAAAAAAAAATCTCTCCCTACAACGATGTGTTTGTGTTTCTTGTACACACTGATGTCCAAGGGTTAAGAGCAAAACCTTGTTTATGTTTTGAGGTCATCTGGTCCTACGGATTTAACTGAGCTGTTTGGTACTCGAAGTATTTATTGTTATAAAGTTGATCCTCCTTGAGCTGAATAGTTAGAGGGTTTTTTGGCCTGAAAGTCAGTCTTCCTTTGGTCGGCACTGGCCAATCAGTGGATGACAGATCTTTTTCCATTCTTTTATTTTCAACCTTTCTGTACCTTGCGTGTTACGGGTGCCCTGGAGCCTGCTTCGGATTCTGTGTCCCCCCTCTCTCTCTGTCCCTCCTCCACTTGTGCTCTGTCTCTCAAAAATAAATAAAAATATAAAAAAAAAAAAGAAAGAAAGAAAGAAAAAGAAAAGGGGCACCTGGGTGGCTCAGTCAGTTAAGCATCTGGCCTCGGCTCAGGTCATGATCTCACGGTCTGTGAGTTCAAGCCCCGCGTCGGGCTCTGTGCTGACAGCTCAGAGCCTGGAGCCTGTTTCGGATTCTGTGTCTCCCTCTCTCTCTGCCCCTCCCCTGCTAGAGCTTTGTCTCTCTCTCAAATAAATAAACATTAAAAAATTTTTTTAATGAAATCTACCATCAACTTTGCGCTTCTGACTAATCCTGCCTTCTTCTACACACAAATGTCAGCGGCATGACATAGGGTTTGTTCATCACTTTATCCTCAGTGCCTACGATATCTCCTTGTACACAGTACATGCTCACTAAACAGTCATTTAGTGAAGGTTTAAATGTGATTTGCCTAATTACCAGCAAGGCTGCTGGAAGGGTTAAAAGGTTAACCAGGTTCCCTGGCCATGACCCAAGTGGCAGAGGAAATTTTCTACGTAATTATTGGACAGCGTCCGGTGTCATCTCGGATACTTGAGTCCTAACTTCCTGCTCTCGGACAGAACACAACTGCTCACATATTAAATGGCATGAGGTTTAACTGGCTTATATACACCGATGACCCTTTCTGTATTTGGTCCCACGTGTAATGAAAAGTACAGGGACAAAGTTTTCATTTCAGGAGGTGTATTTCTAATATAAAACAGCAGCGAAGGTAATTATATGTGCTGCTACATTTTATATGGCGTAACAGGATTTATAAAACCCACCCATTTTTCAGGAGCTGCTTTACCAGAGGCAAAAAAATAAATAAATAAACAGCTACTTTTCTTTTGCATGTACTTTAACTGTACTGACCTACCAATTGTTTGATTTATGCATAACCAAATTTTATTTTTATTTTTTATTTTTTTGTTTGTTTTTTTAAATTTTTTTTCAACATTTATTTATTTTTGGGACAGAGAGAGACAGAGCATGAACGGGGGAGGGGCAGAGAGAGAGGGAGACACAGAATCGGAAACAGGCTCCAGGCTCTGAGCCATCAGCCCAGAGCCCGACGCGGGGCTCGAACTCACGGACCGCGAGATCGTGACCTGGCTGAAGTCGGACGCTTAACCGACTGCGCCACCCAGGCGCCCCCCAAATTTTATTTTTAAAAACGATTTTTTTTAGTGTTTATTTATTTTTGAGAGAGAGACAGAGAGAGAGAGAGACACAGAGCCACAAGCAGGGGGAGAGAGGGAGGCACAGAATCCAAAGCAGGCTCCCGGCTGCAAGCCGTCAGCGCAGAGCCCGACGCGGGGCTCGAACTCACGAACCGTGAGATCACGACCTGGGCCGAAGTCGGACGCTCAACCGACTGAGCCACCCAGGCGCCCCTGCATAACCCGATTTTAATCCCAGCTTCCATATCGTTCAAAGTACACAGAGTCACTTTTTGGCTACATGCAGAGCACAAAATCTCAAGTTATCTTTTAGAAAATCTCAAGTTCAAATCTCAGCTGGATCAGTGACTCACCTAACTCACTCAGGGAGAATTTTAGAAGGTGGGAGACGATTAACAAAGTGGTTTTTCAATCGGGATTAGTAGCAAGTATCCCCTACGTGATATAAAAGATGTACAGGTTATAAACGTGGGAAGCACAAGGGAAGACAGATATCACATCTCTTCCATTTTTTTTTTTTGTGGGTACGATTCTAGGAACTTGCAAAACAGCTCCGAAAACTGGGAACCCCGGAAGGGGAGGCAGAAGCTGGTCAAGAGTCAGCAACCGTCACCCCCCTGACGGCTGGCGGTGTGTAGGGCATACTGTGATTTATTTTCTAGACACTGTCAATATGTTCCGTAACAAGATACGGAGACGCGAGAACCTCTGGGAAGGCTGACTGTCATTCAACGTCAGGGAGAAGAACAAGCACGTTTTGGACCCAAAGCTAGGACATGGGGCAAGGGGGAGGGGCTAGAGTCACGCCATGTTTCTCTTCCTCGTTTGTACACGAGACTTGGCTCTGGGGCACGTGGGTGGCTCAGTGGGTTAAGCATCTAATTCTTGATCTCGGCTCCGGTCACCCTCTCAGTTTGTGAGACAGAGCCCCGTGTCAGGCTCTGCGAGGACAGTGCGGAGCCTGCTTGGGATTCTTCCTCTCTCCCTCTCAAAATAAATAAACTTAAAAAAAAAAAAACAAAAAAACCAACCCTCAGCTATACGGTCACGATTTAAAAAAAGAAGAAGGTGGGGGGGATGGGTGAAGCAGATTAAAAGCACACGGATCATGATGAACACCGCGTAAAATATGAACTGTCGAATCACCACACTGTCCACCTGAAGCTAATACGACACCGCACGTTAACTCTACTGGAATTAAAATTAAACACCTAGAAAGAAATACAAAATTTAAGGGTCGCCTGGCTGGCTCGGCCGGGGGAGCGTGCGACTCTCGATCTCGGGGTTGTTGAGGTCAAGCGCCACGTTGGGCGTAGAGATTACTTCAAAAGAAGTAAAAAAAATTTTTTTTTAAATGCAGAAATATAGAAAAAAAAAACAAAAACACCTTATGTATTTTGTTGCCCAAACTCAGAATAAAACCTATTTGTGAAAAGAATTCTCCTGATCGGTACTGAAGTCCTCCAGGAGACTCTCCGCGACAAAACACGCGGCCGAAATAGTCACTTATGTTGAACCCGTTTTAGGATTTCCTGTCTTTCCAAAGTGAACCTGAATTCCTCTTTTTCTTTCTTTCTTTCTTTCTCTCTCTCTTTCTTTCGACTTTTTTTTAAGTCATCTCTACACCCAACGCGGGGGGCTCGAACTCACGACCCCGAGACCGAGCGTTCGCGAGCTCCCCCCGACTGAGCCGGCCAGGCGCCCCCGAACCTGAATTTCTCAGTAAGTCACACTGCTGCACTCTACCTTTGGTCCATCTCCTTTTGAATTTCTTTATTTAAGTCATCGACTTTCTGCTGCAGCCTTTTCCTTCTCTGCTCAGGCGGGAGGTTGCTGAAATCCTCTGGCGCGGCGCCCTGCAGATGCAAACATGCGTGAGCCAGCGGCAGGGCTGAAAAACAGACACCGAGCGAAGCCTGCAGGAAAGATGCCCCCAGACCCCGGGGGCTGCAGATGTCCGCGTGTCTTTTCATGAAATCGGTGAAGCCCTTTCCCACGACACCCAGCTGAGTCGCAGAATCAGTGCATGCAAACCGCCAAGGAAAGTCCCACAGACCGGCTCCCGCTCCAGGTCTGCCGGCCCAGCCGCCTTCCGCCAAAGGCAGAGAGCGAGACGGCAGAAGGAGGGAGGCGGAGAAGTACCTCTGACCCCCGCGAGAATCCACGAGAAACCCATTTTGCGACAGATTCTCCACTTGACCGTCAGGGTCGGTGGCATCGCTGAAGTCTGAAGGAAGTTTGGAGTTTCTGCTTCCTTCGTAAAACACAGGGACAAGCGCCCCTGTCACCCATGTCCCGTCAAAGGCACTGCTTTCCTCCCTGATCTTTCTTCCCATTTCTGCACACAGGCGGAGGCCAAAAGTTTCCATCCCCAGCAAGTGACAGATGGGACATCTGGCTCCTCGGAGAGCGTGGGTGAAAAGGACATTAAAACATATATCCCCCCACCTCCCCACCCCCCACTGGACCCTTCCCTCTGAAAGTCCGGTCATGCCTTTTGACATCTAGAGGGTGACCGCAGAAAAGTCCGCGGAGAGCTCGCGCCCCGATCTCCACACCGGCTTCCCAGCGTGCAAAGAAATCCATGCCGGCTGTTTCCAATCTGGCAGGAGGAGCAGATTTTGACATCTTGATCCCCCTTCGGAAACAATTCCTATCTTTCCTCCGTGCCTGCGATCTGAGCAGAAAATATCAACAGCGAGCTTCCAGACAGATGCGTACGCGTTAGAAGCTGCGGCTAGGCTGTTGGTCCCCGAGTGCTTTGACTTCAACGAGGCTGTGACCATAAAGACAGAGAAATGTATTCCACAACCAGGGAGAAGCCAAGGAATTGAGAAAGAGATTCCGCCCCCCCCCTCCCCCCAGCCTTGCTTTTGAGCCAATTAAACAAAGACCAGACTGGCTCGGGAGGGGGTGGAAAAGAGGGGACCCGGATAACGGAATTCCGAAATCAAGCTGAATTTGCCAAGCAGCTAATATGGTGCTTTGTGACCAAGGCTCCTTGGCTGCCTGCGACAGGATGCCAGGTTGCTGGGCTGGAAGCGTGTGATTCAGCAGGGTTTACCCGAAGGCCACGCACAGACCTCTCAGCTGATGCTCTCAGACTTGTGCGCGCGCGCGTGTGTGTGCGCGTGTAAGAGAGAGAAGATTGGAGTGAAACCAGAACAGAAGTGGCTATTTCCCTGACGGCAAACCGAGCCAGTCCAATCGCCTCGAGAGCGAAGATGAACCAGAAAGAAATCAGACTTGTTTTTTCTTTCCCACGTGCTACTACCGTGTCGGTAACACTTGAAACCCTCAATCGTGTGCTTTTCCACTTGGCTGAATTCAGTCGCCGGGCCTGCGAGCACGAGACTCTGTCCTCGTGCTGGGTTGACTCAAAACAGATCAGCATGCTTTCTGGAATGGAGGGGCTTTTTGTTCTGTGTTGCTTTTCGGTGCTGCAACCAGTCACGGCCACCAGGAAACCTAGCGAGCGGTCGGTGTCGATTCACGGATCTTCACTAAGCCTGACTGTGTGCTGGGAGTCCCGAAGAATTTTTTTTTCTACAAAGGATGGAAAAGGTCTCATGTCTGCACTGGTCAGTGCGGTAGCCGCACAGAGCTGCTGCACATCTGAACCGCGGCTAGTGCAACCGTGGGACTGCTTTTAAGTTTTCGTTTCATTTTCCTGAACTGAAATCTGAAGAGCCACGTGTGAAGTGTGGCTACCGTACGGGACGGCACAGGTCTAGATGGAGAACAGGTGTAAGATTTGCGTCTGGTGTATCCACAGCTGCAAAGGGATCTTCAGTAAAACGGACAGTACTTAGCACTTACGAACAGATGCCCTCAACAACAAAAAAGTTAATTTTAATCATTTACGAAAACTAAAAACGGTTAAATGATGAAGGAATGAATTAGGGCCCTTTTGATAGATATTCCGTGTTTCTGTATTGCTGTTTAGAAACTAATCTCGGGGCACCTGGGTGGTTCAGTCAGTTAAGTGCCCCGACTTTGGCTCGGGTTATGATCTCACAGTTCGTGGGTTCGAGCCCTGCATCGGGCTCTGTGCTGGTGGCTCAGAGCCTGGAGCCTGCTTCGGATCCTCTGTTCCCCCCCCCGCTCTGCCCCTCCCCTGCTTGCACGCTCTCTCTCTCAAAAAATAAATAAAAATACTAAAAAATAGAACGTAATCTCATGGACTATGCCTCAAACAAACCTCATGTCGCCCTTGGAGATGCAGGTCATAACTTCTACATCCAAAGGAGCGTATGGTGTCTGGAAGTGCCTTAAAAGGCCATTGTGTCCAATTAGCTTTTTAATTCCATGAAGGAATTTATATTTCTAGCTTCGGGTCAGAACAGACTTTCTGAAGTCTTTGGAATGGCCTGGTTTACAAAGAGACTGGCCACACCAGGTGGCACTGGTGTTTCAGGAGGGGGGGGGGCGTCAAAGCACGTATGGTTATTTTAAGTGGCTGTGGCTCTAGGAGGAACTCGTTTTACCCATTTCTGGAATCAAACACTTGCTCCGGAGCATTTCCCCACAAACAGCCCAAGCACGAGCTGCTTCCTGGGATTTTACGCTTGTTTCCACCCCAGGCGTCTCTGGGCAACACTCCACTTCTTTATTAGCGTCTACGTAACGATACAAAGCAACAATTCAATACCGGGTGGGTAAAATGATTTCTATCTCAGACAGAAAGACTGCCTAATATTATTAGTGATATTATCCTTTGTTGCCAGCACCTCAGCAGAAGAAGAAACACAGAAAGGGCAAGGAAGGAACCCCAGTATCTGAGAGACGCCTACTTAATTGATCTAATTTCTCCCCAATTGTTGCTGTCGTCAAACGCAGTTCATTGAAACATTTAGAATGTTTTCCTTCTTGTAGACACTTTAATTAGGGACTCGTCTTGGATTTTGAGTTTAAGAAATGTTCAATTTAATAAAATATTCATTTCCTTCCTTCCTTCCTTCCTTCCTTCCTTCCTTCCTTCCTTCCTTC